CGGCAGTTAAGCACGCTCCTTTTTTTTCCTTTTTTTTATTTTTTTATTTTTTTACCGACCTTACCGCGTTTTCGTCGCCGCCCTTGCGAGAGGACCTATCGCCGTTAGCACTTCGGATATCTTTATCAACGCTAATTTTTACTTCGTTCCATCGACGAAGATTCCTCCCGAGATTCCACGTGTTTCCAGGCGACAGTTGCGAATAAGGGGAGGAAAAAGAATTAGACGCGTGTGGCGGCGGCGATGATAGCGGCGTTCAAGACTCCGTCTCTTAAGTGACCCAACTAATTTTACCGGGAACACACATCCACTCCGGGCACGATGCACTGCGAAAGTCGGACTCGGAACTTAATCGAGTTTGGTCCTACGCCCGCTGATGACTATGGGTTTTGCCCTTTCTCTCTTTCACTCTCTCTTTCTCTCTCTTCTTCCGTCCCTTCCCTTTCTATCGGCGACATTGGTATCCCGCGCGTTTTCCACCGGGATTTTCCCCGTTGTTCGGTTATCGATCCCTGCTACCCTCTCATACTCCATCCCCCCGTCTCTCGCAGCAGCGCGCCCCTCAGACAACACTGCCTGCTTGCCTGCCTGCCGGCACTTTTCCGTCGCCGCCGCCGCCGCCGCCGCCGCCTCCGCTCGAGCGATGTTAAACGCGCGCGAAATCGACTCGGACTCGAAGTCGCTCCCCCGGGACGATTTCGTGAAAGTATATATGTATATGAGTATATATGTATGTATATATTTTGGCTCCAAAGCCGAATCTTCTTCATAAGTTTTTACGCTTCTTCTCGCGAAAACTGTCGCATTGCTTCCGTCCCACCCCTTTCGCGCACTTTCCCGCGATGATTCTTCGTAAATCTCTTCGCCGATCACTTTTGCGCGCTGCGCCGTTGCTATCTCAGGGAAATACGCAGATACGGGCGGGATTTGAAATCGATATTTTCCCCGGTTAGACGAAAGGTAATCCTGAGAGAGTATGTTTTTGTTTTTGTTTTTTTTTTTGTTTATATACTTATTCTCTCGATCGGTATCAAATGTCCCGATTGATATTAATGAAATCTCAAATTAAATTTTATGCGCGAGTATAAATTTTCAGGATCGCAAATTAAATTACACTTAAACGTCGTTAGTCAAGAGGTAGCCGTTAATTGTGGATTAAATTCTCTCGGGGGGAAAATTATGCGAGGAAGGATTTTCTTCTTGCGAGCGCGACATACGTCTTTCCGTGAGACACCTATGAGAATACACCGTTTCCTAAATGGAAACACGACGACTAGGCGTTTCTCGCGCGGAGAAACGCGCAGCTAAAAACGGACGGAGCTGGGTGGTGGATACAAGCTTACGCGCTTCTTGCTCGCGCTTGCTCGCGCGTAGGTAGGTAGGTAGGTACTCCAGTGACACGCTGATCTACTGAGATGTAACGGGGAGTTTCATAAAGCGAATCTCGCGTTTATAGACGAGTGCCGCTTGTGCGACGTCCCGACGCGATGCATTCAATCTCCGTTTCTTCATCTTCATTAGCACGCTGTCTGTAAGCGTTGCTCGCGAACGAACGAGGGTGCCCTCATTGAAACACCCTTTTGCCTAACCCTTTGTAGCTCGCGCAAAGAGCTTGCAATGGTTTAATTACTCGGGCTTCTCCTCGAGCAAATCCCAATATTTAACAATATCGAGAAATTAAAACTATTTCGATATAATATAATTCACACACGCATGTGTGTGTGTGTAAATACAATTTTCATAATGTTGCAAAACAAAATCGAACTATATTTAACACATCGATTAAATAATTCAGTGCAAAATTGAAACGTTAAGGTAAAAAGCAATTTTAAACGCGTGTTAAATATTTGTACACTTTACATCTCAAATATCGATTTTCCACCAATTAATACTAGATAAACCCCTTTCCCATCTCCTCCCCCGTATTCGCGTATTATATTCGTAAAAATAGCGTTATACCAATTACACGGCAGGTGCTGCGGATGCAATTATGTGAGCCGGTGCTGACCATTTAAATCGCGCGGTATAACTGCGAGCGAAATGCGCGCGGACGTTACGATTGACGACGATATTGCGCCTGTGTGTGTGTGTGCGCGCGCGCGCGTCTCTTTTATGCGTCGTTTCTCCCGTCGTTGCGGTCACTTATCACTTAGACTGCTCGCATCATGTACTCTATTATATTTTATTTCGCGCAAACGCGAGTGTCGTAGCGAACTAGGTGTGAAATGTTTGCGGGTTCGCGGGTAAAAAACATTTCTTCAAATTGATATACCGCGAAAATAGCGCGCGTTTCGCACACGTGGAAGTTTGTACGCGCGCAGATGAGAGTTCGCAGATTATTTTTACAAGAGATTAGTTTTATTAGAAGAGTCGTTGTGTTTTTCGGATCGCACGCGTAAAATTGATGCACGGCGTTTTTCAGAACGTCGCAATAATGTTCGCGACAGAGTACGGCCGGCGGGATCCTTTTTTTAATATTTCACTAGCAGTTTCTCCCTCCCCCCCGTTCGTTATTCTTTCGCGTTGGCTAACTCGTTCCGAGCGAATGAAACAACATACGGTCGAATAACTCCATTTGCTCTCGCGGAGGTTATACTAATTGCGAAATAAACGGACGCTATGAATATTACGCCATGAAAATTCATGTGAGGACTTAAACTCTGCGTTATATTTTATCTTGTATCTTATATAATGCGACTTTATGTGTAAAACAAACTTGTATATCGCGTTACTCCCCGCTTTTTCCGCATTAAGAGTTTGAAAATCAAGATGCCCCAATTGTACGGCCGGGTTTATAATTAGTATCAGTTTACGAAACGTTTATCGCAACATAGAAACGGAGAAAAAGGGAGAAAGAGAAGGAGATTTTCGTAATCTAACGGTAAGCATGTTGTTATTTCGCGTAAAAGAAGATGATATGCGCGAACAAAATTTTTATCCTTGAAATTGTCTGTGAAAAAGTTTTGCGCCACGCGAGATAAATTCGCGAATGTATAAACGTCATCATCGCGCTTGTTTTTTTTTTTTTTTTTTTTTTTAACAAAATGACGAATTAAAGAAGCGAAAACGCTCCGACGGACGGACGGACGGACGGACGTACGTGTACGTTCACCGGGTTCGTTCCGCATTATATGTTGCTGCTGTGCGGACACGCACAACCACGCGAAATTGCGTGTACACGTCGCGGACACCCGGTGAATTCCCTCGTGTAGGCATGTCCAATCATTGGTGTAGGAATTAGAGTCTCGATGCACACACATACCTATACTCCCTCCTCTCCCCCTTTCCCCCCGTCGTGGTATCCATCCACTCCCCCCGACACTCCTCCTCCCTCCCAGCACTTGGCTCGGCAAATTAATGAACAATGTCAACGTCGGCGGCATCGCTACGCGCCGCGCATACGGGATACGTTCATAAAATTCGCTGACGAATCAGTCGCATTTGGATAATTTTGTTATCCCGCCGCTGCGCGAGGACTTTCTGCGTGATGAGACCTTATTTGGGCGGAGTGAGATTCCCCTTGGGAAAATCCGGCGCGCGCGTTTATGCGAAATCAAATCGTAATCGGATTTCTTCCCGTCCACTCTTCGCGGCAAAGGATTTCCTTTCGCGGTTTTTTCGCGAGTTTTCAGAAATATCGCGGCCTATGAAAGCGGCCAATTCGTTTGGCGCGCGCGATGAGATTTTGCCGCGCGAGTGAAGTTTCCGTCGTTGCGAAGCAGAATTCACAAAAAAGCTTTGCTGAAACCGACGGTTCATTGAGAGAGAGAGAGTCTTTCTCTCTCTTTTTCTTTCTCATTTCTCGCAATGTCAACAAACTCGATAATTAAGCGTAGATATCAAGTACAATTTTTCATAAATCTCTTCTTCGGTAATTAAAAAACAACAAAATACATTAATAAAAACTGCGCTACTCTTGGAAATTATTCAGAAATGAGATAAATTTTTATCAAAAGTTGTTGCTCTTCTTGATAATTGTGCAAATATTCTTACCTCCAATTAAATATTCTCCAAAGCGTATTCAGCGGGAACGTTTCGAAAATGGTGCAATAAACTACGCGAGCGTCGTGGGGGGCTCAAGTGTCCCTAATCGACCCAAATAACGATTTCTCTTTTTCTCGTTTCAGATTAGCGCCGCGCTGCGGCGGCTATATCGGCAAGATACTGACGACGACGACGACGACGACGACGACGACGACGACGACGACGACGACGCCGACGCCGACGTGGAAGACGACAACAGCAGCGTCGGCGGGGGTAGTGGGGTTGAAAATCGGCGCTTGCCCGGTGTCACCCTCTCTTTGGCTCTTGCCCCTCGATCGCTCATTCGTGTTCCCCTCCTAGAAATCTACTGCTCCTATCTCTCTCCCTGTTCGTATACCGCCCGCGGAGTTTCACCGCCATATCCACGTGCGTGCAATCCCGTGCGTACTCGGATGCACGCGTAATCACTCATACAGATACGGTTCCGGGGTTAGGAGAGAGAGAGAGAGTAAGGTTTCGCGTTAAAATACGGACGCGCGTAGTGCGCATGCGGGAGCCGTGCGGTGGGGAGCACGGCGCTTGATTGGGAGCGCGCCGCTTGGTGGGGTGCGCGTGTCACCTGTCGCGACGTCAGTGTGACGGTGACCGTTCGCGAGTACGGATGGGTGACGTGTGCGCGCGTACTTAGTCGTTTCGCACAAAGGCATACGGTGCTACGTTGAACGCCGCTCGCGCGTGGACGCTTGGAAGCGTGAGCGCGAGTGTTACAGTCGCTGCAACTCTCACATTCGCATCTCTCTCTCTCTCTCTCTCTCTTTTTCTCGTACATAGGCGCGCGTTCGAAAACGCGCGCCGTTCGTTACTTGGACGTGAATGTGTCGTTTGGCCGCCGCTGCGGGGCGGCCGATCGTCGTCGGGAAAACATGCGTGCATCGAGGTGGACGACCGTCGTGGATGCAACGACCGCACCGTGGAATGACGAGGTCGCGCTGCACGTGACTGCCGCGGCGCAGCTCCCGGCGCAGTGAGTGTCGAGAGAAAGCAAACCCGGCGGCGGGCTTTCCGCATACATCCCGAGATAGGTTAATTCGCGGCACCGCGGGCGTGTCGTTTTTGAGTGTGCTCCATTCCCGTACCGCGGAGCGCAGTGTGTGATAATAATTAGCGCCACAACGCGCGTGGAGATCCTCCTATTTCCGGAGTTGGTTTCGTTCGTTGGTTTGTTTTTTTTTTTTGTTTGCTGAGTGCCGAGAGGAGTTTTTCACCGGGTGGTTCGGGTGCCCGGCGATCGCGCGCGGCGGAGACTGTGAATCCTGGCACATAATTACGAGCACCGTTGCGACACCATCGCGAGGAGATGAGGCGCTCCAGCCTCCGTGTCGCTCTCGGGATGCAACCGTTGCTGTTCTGCTGGTGCGTCGTCGCGACGATCACCATCGCTCTGGCTGCATGGCAGGAGAACATCAGGCCGAAGATGTTCGTCCAGCTAGGTGAGTGTCGATCTACTATTTGTCTTATCAGCGTGCGTGCACCGTCAGAGTGTGTGCATAGCTTTCTCGTTATCTTTGCGCTTTGTGATACGAAAAAAAAAGTGTACGTGTGTGCGGTGTACGAAAACATACGATATTTTTACGTGAGTGCGACTCTGCTGATCGTAACCAAGGTCGGGTTTAGTTTATTCATTGCATTTTCACTTTTTCAACGATCGTTACCGCGAACGACGGTAGTCGATAAATGTTTTCGTGACGCGACATCGTGCGCGATTTTTTAGATGATCGGATTATCACAATTCACAAAAATGAAATTGTAAGGAATACACGATAGATCTCCGCTGGTGAATAATAAACTTCGATCTCGAAGAAGAAAGTGAAAAGAATAATTAAACACGTTATTAAGTGCTACGTCGCTCCCGTCGGGAACCGACGGTAATCAAATTTAAAAGTAATACTTCACAATGCACATCATATTAACACGTAACTCCGATTTCGGTCGAACTTTTCGTTCAGGTGTGAGCGTGCAAGGTAAACGTAGACGCCCAGCGTCGATTCGCGAGAGAAACGGAAGTTCCGCGAAATAGAAAGTTCGGCGCCGGTTTCCGGGATTAGTGTAGCACTTAACGTGTTTAGAAGAAACGGCGCGACAATCGATATTATATATATATAAAGAATTAGTGTAATATACATTTATTTATTTTGCTTCTTTATCTTTTTGTTTAACAAGGTCGTTGACGGTTTCTAACTATTGTGTTGTTTCCGTGTATCGATATTGAGCGGACGTGTCATAGATTGAGTATTAACCACCACACCGCACAACGGTTAAAGACTCTTCCGCGAAGTTAGTAGCAATATTCTCGGAACCTTCGTGAGGGGTTCGCTTTACCAGGTTACGTGGTGACAGCACGGGAGGGGGGGTGGTTGCGCACAGCTAGGTGCAGGGTCATGCACCTTACCCCCTACTCGGATTCTTCCTCGTCAACGAGAAAGGGTTGTTCCGTTGCGAGTTGATGACTGTGAACCTTCAATCAGGGCACAACCTGGGGTATATATATATGTATGTATGTTCCCGGGGTATTCCCCAATGTGGTTTTTTTTTTTTTTTTTTCTGTGATTACGGAAAAAGAAGAATGCTAAAGATATCGACCACCGCCGCGAGGTATCTCGGCTAAATTATTAAAGCGCCGGTGATGCAACGCAGCGATTTCTCATTGGCTCTACTGGCTCTTGTGGCTCCATTCTATTTCGCTAACAGCTCATTCATCATATCACAAACACGAAAGCTTTTAGAACAACGCCGGAGTGAGAATGCAGAAATTTCAATGCGCGTTATGCGGAAAACACTTTTGTTTTATATTCAAATTTCTTAGGTAATTTAGAATATCCACCGACAAATCCATTGCCGGTTACTTCCGCACGTTGTTGTTTACATTGTTCACGGTAACAATTTTTTCTTTTTCTTTTTTTTCTTTTTTTTTTTTTAAATAAATGTAGTCGCGGTGTTTCTACAACTGCTCCAAAAAAAAAAAAAAAAGAAAAAAAAAACGAATGTTTTTACATCGAATACATGAATATTGAATATTTAAATACTCGACGGGTTTTGTAAAATAAAATTATTAGTGCGGCAAAAAACTAGTAAAAATTTTTTTTTCAGGATCCACTGGAGTTGCGCGTACGTTACTGCTTCACTCGGCGTGAATTCGATATGTGGAGTATATGTAGAGCTCGTGTGTCAGCGATTCGGCAATATGTTCCGACGTACTTACACGCGAGAACCGCGGGCTTGTATTTTTTTTATTTTTTTTATTTTTTTTTCTAAATTTAGATACAACAGAGCGGAGTAATAAGCTGGAAATCAACACTGTTTTTTTTTTTTTTTTTTTTATTCAATGAACTATAGTTGGTTTAAATCGCGCACGATTGCATAGACAGAATTATTGTTTGCACGTGTACGTGGATTTCTATACATAGATCTTCAATATTACTTGTGCACGTATATACTCGCGAAGAGATTCGATATAGTTTCTCAGTTTTGTACGTAGCTACGTAAAAATAGCGTTACTCTTATTTCCCGTCAGGATTGCGTTGACGCTTTTATTAAGTTTCGCGCGATATGCTGGCTCGGAAACGCGTATATCGCGAGAGAGAGAGAAAGATGGAGAGAGGGACTTATTAACTCTTCGCAGGGAACACACCGTGAAAGATAAACGATTTAGCAATGTTGGTTCGCGTTATGCTCTGTATAAAACTTTCTCTTTTTCCTTCCGCTTTACTGCTGAAATTAACAACGTTTCGACACGAGATTGCGCGCACGGTTCAAACGTTTTATAGAAAAAGGGGGAGAGAGAGAAGGGCTCGGTCTTTCGTTAAGACCCCCGCGCAACATTTGTGTTCTTAAGACAGTCCTTTGATCGTCGGTAACGAGGTGTCCCTACGGGATCGTTTTCTTCTCGCAAGTCTTTCGGAACTCGCTCGTTTGTTACACTCGTCTCCGCGTTACCCTTCGCGCGCATAACTAATTCGAACGGACACGACGTCGACGTCGGTAAATTGGTGTGTGCGCACGCGCGCGCGCGCGCAAAGTGGATCCGCAAAAAGAGCGTGGGATGAAATGGAGGGACGTGAGAAAGAGAGGAGACGCAGGAAAAGAGAGAGAGAGAGAGAGAGAGTAGAGAGAAGGAAAGAGAACGCGGTGTGTAAAGTGTCCTACATCCAAGGCACTCGACCTTAACGGTGCTCCGCATGTTTCGTACGTACCGCGTAGAAGCGACGCCCCAACATCCATCACTCTTTCCGCGACGGAACGATATCTCGACGGGGGGAAAGGAGCGAAATAAATTGCTCCGAAGTGGCTGCGCCGCTTTATGGCGCGGGCACATGCTGCTGCTCCGCGCGCGCACCGGAGTATGTACTCCCTAACATTATACCGCGAGCGCGAATGGGCCGGCGAACGGTTTGAGTGATAGTCGCGCGAGAACTCAAATGTTTGAAACTCTCCATTTCTTTCTTTCTCTCTCCCTTCTCTCTCTCTCTCTTTCTCTCTCGGTTTCTCGGTTGATGCGCACTTCTCGCGAATATGCATTTAGGATGCGCCATTAGCATCTCCTCTCACATAAATTAGCGTTTTTTTTTTCTTAATGAAATCTGATTCACGCGTTTTCCTCTTGAACGAATTTGAGTGGCGGAAGTGTATAAAGCGCGGTGCGCTTTTTTAAAAAGATTAACCTGAATTCGCATTAAAAAGACACATTTTTGTGCTTATTTTAAGAAATAAATGTAAATTTTTCTCTCTCGAGTCGTTGCGATGAGAAATGCGGACGAGAATAAAATAAGAATTTTATTCACGGCATCACTCAATAACGATAGCAAAATTTTCTCAACTCAACTTTCGTCGACGACAACCGATGGAACTTCGTACCCGGATGGCCGAAGTTTGGAAACCTGCATATCTATACCTATGCTGTGTGTACGTGTGTGTACGTGTGTGTGTGTGTTGAGTCTCTCCCTCTTCTATACCTCCCTTCGAAGACAAACATTTTCCTTTCCAAAATGTTTGGAATAGGCAAGCAGTGACTTCTCGCGACACATCGAATGTGTTGTTAATGGATCTTTATATGCGTTTAAATTTGTAACTCGTTTTGCGCGCGCGAGTAACGTCGTGTGTAACGTTACACATTTCACTTTATAATTTGCGCGCCGTGAAGTTTCAAAAAGTAAACTCTCTCCCTGCGGCCTTGTACATCTCTCTCTCTCTCTCTCTCTCGGAAGCAAGTAACAAGTCGGATTTCGGCAATCCGAAACGTAAACGGCACGTTTTCGGAAAGTTGCGGAGGAGTGCAAGACGCGTGCGAGTCTCGGGGGGTGCGTATAATGCGCTCATTATTCAATGTGCGCGTCAGGGTAATCGTTGTAGCGCGCAACGAGGAGAAGGAATGATGTTTTTCTTCCAGATTACGTGGCGTGAATTAGTTATCATTCTCAACATCACCGCGGTCTCTCTTCGCGTCTAACAGCGCAGCGCGCGCTGCGCACGCTCGGGGCGAGTTAACGTTTTCACACACGTACACACACACGCGCGCGCGTTATTATCGCCGAGGTTTGCTGCTTCTCGCAGCGTGAAATTTCTTAAATCATTCCGAATGTACCGCGCGAAATGTGGATTAATCGTCGGAATTAAGAACCACGCTTTACCGCTGTAATTACTTGAACCGCGGGAACAGATGGCCATTAGTCTGAGGTTCCACGAATTATGTTCGCTCGTTGATCACGTTTTTGGTGCAGGCCGCACCGCTCGAAACGCGCGTTACTTTACTTCACTCCCATTCTCTTTCCCTCTTTCTCCCCTTCCTCTGTCTCTCGACGCGCACACACACCGTTTTGCCCACTTTGGCAATTTATTTTTTAACGTATCTTATTTATCGCGGATTGTTGCTCGCGAAAATTGCGCGCTTTGAAGTAAAACGCAATTGACATTGAATGCATGTATGTTTTTTTTTATTTCGATTATGCAAAACTTGCGTTTTCTTTTCTCCGACGGTTGGTCGGAGAATTTTTTTTTCCGCGTTCGCGATATTTCGCCACGCGTCCGAATAATCTCGATTCTGTGCGCAAGAGAACGCCCCGTGGCACGGAGTGTATTAGATGTGAAAAAAAAGGCATTTTTCTTTCTCCATTTGCATCTGATCGCGAGCTTATTTTAGTCGCGTATGAAATAACAAAAAGTTGCAATTTTCAGAATCAAAAAAGTGGTAGCCACAGAAAAGAGTATATTTTTCAGTTTTTTTTTCTTGCTTTTGCTTTTTGCCGTGTACCGATGGGGTTTATGTAAATATTCTCTCCGTTACACAGCCGCCGCGTATATACGTTTCAGAACTTTATCCTTTCGCGATACGAACCGTAAACCGTTTCTTGCTCTCTCTCTCTCTCTCTCTATCTATGTCTCTCACCGCCGCGCGATTCGACATCGCGCGAGCTCATTACGTCGTGACGGATTTCGT